AGGCTTGATCCCCATTAGGGGACCTGCAGGAGGCAGCCAATCAGTGATTCTCTCTCATCATTGATGTTTTTATCTCTCTTTCCCTCTCCCTTCCTCTCTGAAATCAATAAAGATATAATTTAAAAAAACAAAACAAAACAAAAAAACCCCCAAAAAACAAACAAACAAAAAAACTGTGCTCTACAATATGGTAGCCACTAGCCACATATGGCTACCAAGCACTTGAGATGTGGCTGGTAAAACTAATGTTACCCAGTTATAGTTGAATGCCCACACATGGCTAGTGCTACTGTATGGAAAGTTCAATCTTAAATCCCATTGGGACCTTTCTCCTGAATCTAGTCATGGGAGGAAGGATGTTGGTGGATGCTAACTATTGGCATCTCTGGATATAAGATTGGGGACCCAAGATCAAAAAGGACCTGAGCTCATCTCCAGGGGATGGGAAGACTGCAGAAGTCCCTAAGCCAATAAGGTATTAAAGCAGAAGAAATATCTGTGCAATGAGTTAAGATGGACAGGCCCAAGGAAACCTCACAGAGGTTTCTGGAGTCCCAGAATGACCTGGGCAGTAGTGTTTCCTGTGCACTGTGGAGTAACCCAGACATGAAACATGGAGTTGGTGGATCTACAGATGCTTGGTGGTTGGAAACAGGGAGGACACAGCTGTGACCCACACAGAACAAAGACTAAATGATATGCAAGTTCATCTAAGTGGATGCCGCCACAGACAAGGAACAACATGGAAGGACAGATGCCTACCCTCCCACCTTTGCCATCTTGGTTCCACATTAGCTCCCTGGAACGTACACAGAATCCTGGGAGAGGCTGTGGATTGACCGAGGTTAAATTTCTGTCATCAGGAGGAAAGGGGAATTTGATGTAGGCATTAAGTTCATATATAGGAAACTAAAGTTAAATTTCTTGCACAATTGAGTGCATGGAATGACACAAACATCATCTAATATAAGTTTACAACTATCTATGAAGGAAGTACTGTTATTATTTCTATTTTACAGATGAGACATCTGAGGCCCAGAAGCTCCTGTCACTTAACTGTAGACACCCTAGGCTGATAGATGTTGAAGTCAACGTTTTATTCTAGGTTTGCCTGCCTTCTCCAAATACTTAACCTTTTATAAAGTTTTATTTTTCAATTATAATTTACTTTTAACATTATTCTGTATTAGTTCCAGTCATATTGCATAGTAGTTAGATAATTCTATACTTGACAAACTGTTCCCCTCAATATTTCAAGTACCCACCAGGCACCATACATAGTTATTACAATATTTTTTACTATATTCCCTATGCTGTACTTTATGTCCCCATGTCTATTTTTTAACTACCAACTTGTGCTTCTAAATCCCTTCACCTTTTTGACCAAATCCTCCAACTCCCCTCCCCTCTGGCAACCATCAGTACGTTCTCTGTGTCTATGAGTCTGTCTCTGTTTTGTTTGTTCATTGATATTGTTCTTTAGATTCCACATATAAGTGAAATCATATGGTATTTTTCTTTGACTGACTTATTTCACTTAGCATAATACTCTCTAAGTCATCCAGGCTGTCACAAATGGTAAGATTTCATTCTTTTTTTATGGCCAAGTAATATTCATCATATATATGTACTACAGCTTTTTTATCAATTTGTAGACTGATAGTCACTTGGGCTGCTTCCAAATCTTGGTATTGTAAATAACGCTGTAATGATCATAGAGGTGCATGTATACTTTCGAATTAGTGTTTTGGGTTTCTTCAGATATATACCCAGAAGTGGAATCACTGAATCATAAGTCAGTTCCATTTTTAATTTTTTTGAGGACCTTCCATACTATTTTTCACAGTGGTTGCAACAATCTGCGTTCCCACCAATAGTACATAGGGGTTCTCTTTTCTCCACATCCTTGCCAACACTTGTTTGTTGACTTATTGATGGTAACCATTCTGACAGGTGTGAGGTGATGTATCATTGTGGTTTTAATTTGCATCTGTCTGATGAGTAGTGACATTGACAAAATACTTAACCTTTATCCAGGTTGAAATCTATTACTTTGTCTACATCTACTCTTATTTTCATCTAAAAACAGTATGCCTCTTCTCTTAAAGATGCCTTACCTCACTCCAAATACATGCTTTGAGTGGAGGCTGCCAACCAGGATAAATTACCTCCTAGACCAGATGATTAAGAAGTAATGATGTAGAGTCAAACCCCCTTTCTGTTTCCTTTTGGACACATAGTAAGACCCTAATTTCCAGTTTCTGTTGCAGTTAAATTGGCCATGTGAATGAATTCTGGCCAATAGAGTGTAGGAATGTAGGAAGAGGTAATGAGTGGAATTCATTAAAAGGAGAGACACACAGCCTAGCCGGCATGGCTCAGTGGTTGAGTGTCGACCTATGAACCAGAAGGTCACTGTTCGATTCTTGGTTGGGGCACATGCCCGGGTTGCAGGCTCGATCCCCAGTGTGGGACATGTAGGAGGCAGCTGATCAATGATTCTCTCTCATCATTGATCTCTCTCTCTCTCTCTCCTTCCTCCCTCTGAAATCAATAAAACCATATATTTAAAAAAAAAGAACGAGAGAGAGAGACAGATCGACAGACTGGAGGGTATAAGGAAGCAAAGACATAATCAGGTTTGAGAATATCTAGGAATGTACATGATGTGGTCCCTGACACATGGTACTGACTAAATACAAATGGTACTGACTAAACACAAATAGAACAGAAGAGCTATTACATTTAAGCCAAAGAAACCACAAACCTACATTTAAAAGAAAAAAAGCATTTGACTGTCCAAGTTGTAAAACAGTCTCAGGCCGCTAAAGTCGCTGTAGGAGTAGTCAGGGTGCCGAAGCGGTGGACCCCGAGAGGAGCATTCCTGTCAGCATCTAGTTCCGACAAGCCAGAGAGATGACAGACAAGACAGTGTTTCCCAGAGACCAAAATTAGATCAAATGAAGACACCAGATTGCTATGGCAAGGGTTGCCTCTCCCAGCCTTTTCATGATTGAATGGGAGTTTTAATTCTGGATATCCTGTTTCTACTCTGCCAATATATAGGGAGTGGTGTGGCCACATAACTTGTCTTCTAGTTCACAGGTCACAGATCATAGGGAGCCGCATCTGGCCAGAGGAAGAGGACTGCACAACATCACCAAGATCCTAGCCTTGGAGCCGGTTGCAGTCATTGGATGGTCTTTGGCTTATCTCACTTGGGTTGAGGTCTATGCTTTCCATGTGAGGGACACAATATGAAATGGATGAACAGATGGTGAACAGATGAGTGGACTGTGGCAGAGACAATGTATGTGGTCAAGAAACCAGGTTATTTCCCTCTTTCCCCAGCTCCTTCCTGTCATTTATGGTAGGGTGACAGGAAATCTGAGATGCTCTTTGAGTGTTCTGACAGCTCTCAGGATTACCAAGAACTGCTGAAAACCTGTATTTATCTTTGGGATGATCATATTTCTTCCTGCCTCCTTGATTTGGTATTTCTAGTAAACCTCATTAAAGCGGTATTAAGCAAACTTATAAATATGTATATAGTCTTCTCAATTATCTGTTGATGGATATGGACTCTGATACATTTACATAATGAGCTTTTAAAACATGCAGATGCATTTTACAATTAGACCCAGGTGGGGGCTGGGCGAGTAGAAACTTGGAAGGAAAAATAAGCTTACTCCTGGCAATACTAAAGCTACCTGTTTAGAGAAAGCTTAAAGTCGGAAGAAGCAAATTTGTACTGTTGAGGAGCTTAGTTCCTACTCACAGATTTCAGATAATATTAGGGATGTTGTCAAGTTAGAAGCAAGACCAAGTGAAATGGCACTACCTCCCATTCCAATGCTGACAGCAAAGCCAATGCATCAGAATCAAGGCCATATAGCAGTCAGGGCTTGGGAGCCATAATTGGTGTGGTACACATTACCATGACCATCAATATCATATACCCAGTTCCCCTCCAGTCTAGGCACTTTGGAGAGGCACACTCCCCAAACTTGAAATTAAATATGGCCATGAAGCATGCTCTGGCCAATGAAAGGTAAGCAGAGGTGATGTTAGTTGCTTTGGGGTAAAATATTTAAGATTCACTTGGCAATTTTCTGTGATCTCTTTATTTTGGTGGCAGTCTGGAGACATCCTAAATGGTAGAGCTTCTGTCAGCCTGAGTCTGGAGTGGGGGCATGCCATGGAGTGGACATGTGCACACTGGACATGTAGCATGAGCTAGAAATAAACCTTTGTTGTTCAAGACACTGATATTTGGGGTACTGTTTGTTATAGCAACCAAATCAAACCAAGCTTGACTGATACATCTGGGACTAGGGACTTGGAATACTATTCCAGAACAAACTTCATTGGAAACTTGAATTTAATAGCCCAGTTCTGAAGAAGGAGTTTAGAATTAGGGAAGCTAAACCAAAGCTCTTTTCCCTGTTTCCCCAAAGGGGCCATTTGTGTGAGTTGCCTAATATTACACCAAAAAGACAGTATGATCTTTCCAAATTTATGGGTTAATGTTTCTCTCAGCTTGAGTGGAGGTTCCTGAAGTTGCTACAATTTGATGTTCAGAATAAGTAAATGCAGTAAGTGCACCCAATCCATCTGAAGGATTATAATGAAGGTTAAAAAAAAAAAGTTGAGCTTCCTCAGATAAAAATTGCAATATAGATCCTTATTTGATAATAATATCTTGACAGAGGAGAATTTTAGAAAGTAGTGAGAGCAAAAGAGTCCTAAATTAGAAACTGGTTTTCATTCACAGAAGCGACAGAGAAGCTGGCTATGGTCTAGGACAGTGATGGCGAACCTTTTGAGCTCGGCGTGTCAGCATTTTGAAAAACTCTAACTTAACTCTGGTGCCGTGTCACATATAGAAATTTTTTGACATTTGCAACCATAGTAAAACAAAGACTTATATTTTTTATATTTATTTTATATATTTAAATGCCATTTAACAAAGAAAAATCAACCAAAAAATGAGTTCGCGTGTCACCTCTGACACGCGTGTCATAGGTTCGCCATCACTGGTCTAGGACCAGAAAGAAGGAGCAGTTCCCAGAGTGAAAAGGATATTATCCTGTCCTTGCAACATAGAGCAGGTCAAAGGAACAGACGTTTTTCGTGTGTTCCACACTGTTTTCCAGAGGTTGAGTAACTTGATGAAGGTTCTGGATTTTGAGTTCAGACAATCTGCTTCCAGGCCCATGCTGATAATATTAGCACTGGAATTCTAGGCGAGAGGAAAGAATAAAGATAGAGAATATACAAAACGGAGTCTCTTTGACCGAGCTGCTAAAAGTATTAACATTATGAAGGTTGAGACAGGAGGAAATGAGTCTATTCTTGTTCTACCTAGCCTGGGATCCTAAACTTTATAATTTGCAGTCCTACATCAATGCCTGGATATTTGTCAGGTTGTTGCATGCCAATACTTAGATGTACGCCAGACCTCCAGATAACCCTCTGATTAACCCCTGAAAAACTCACATACCCAGACCACCTGACATCCACCTGACAAACATTATCCAGACCATTGGACATGACCAGTCCTCCTGGAAGCCATCTTCAGACCATCTGGCATCATCATTCTAACCACCTGATATCTGACTGATAACTATCCTGGACCAAACCTACGGCTAAGAATGTGGGACTATAAGTGTCAGGAAGGCATCTTTTACTATGAGCACTTTTACCTTTTCTTTCTTCTTTGGAACATTTCTGGGTTTTTGCCTTACTGTGTTCACAATTTGCAAACTCTAAGACTCTTGAATAAATCTTCATCATTTACTTCTAGCCCAGCCGTGGGCAAACTACTGCCAGTTTGAAATGAATAAAACTAAAAAAAAAAAAAGACCGTACCCTTTTATGTAATGATGTTTACTTTGAATTTATATTAGTTCACACAAACACTCCATCTATGCTTTTGTTCCGGCCCTCCGGTCCAGTTTAAGAACCCACTGTGGCCCTCAAGTCAAAAAGTTTGCCCTCCCCTGTTCTAGCCAAATCTTTTTTAGATCTTTGACAGGTGCATTCATAAGTATAAAATGTGGGCAATATGAAGGGAGTGCAGATTAAAAAGCCAAAAGATGAGGAGATGGATGAGTTATAAGAAAATTATTGTTAAGGGATAATTTTCAAAATAAGGTACAATTGTGACTCTCATCCAAATAAAAAATAAACATGTCAAGGATTTTATTTAACTTATTAATTAATGAGGGAGTTAGGAAAGTGTTATAACCTTTCTTTTATGGGAGAACTTAAAGTACCACAGATATATGGACTGGTAAGGAATTTGGAAAATATACTTGTAAATAGATATAAAACCAGCAGAACAGGGCAATATCCAGAGAGTGATATCAATTGCATTTCACTGGACACAACTTGCATTTCTATGAGAAGAATTATTTGTATTACAATCTAAGCCTGCACACAAAATCCGGTGATTCCTGGATGCTCCACTGAACAGATATCCAGTAATCTCTTTTCCTATTTCAAAATCTCTCACAATTTTTCTCTCCAATATATCTATTTTGTCTTTTTAGGGATGTAGCTCAGTAAGTGTTGGATTTTTTTTTGCCTCTGTGAGCAGGGATCTGGAAAAAAAGAAATGGGATTCTTATCCCTCCTGTCATCTAACTGAGAAGGTCATTTCTAATGCATGGTTCTTTTTGATAAACACTTAAAAAACCCTCATGTTTCCCTTCAATATCATTTAAGGTTCCAAATCAAAAGTTCTTACCAACAACAAACTGAACAGTGTCCCTGCTCAGTTCTGATACAGCCCCTTTAAGTCATACCTTCTTCTCCTCCATTCAAAAGCACACTCTAGGGAGAGGAAATTGGGAGGAAAAATTGAGGACATGTCAGCTAATTTTTAATACCTTCAAGGGCTGCTTGTAGAAAAGAGAACAGTTTCTTTTGGAGTTCCACAGAGTGACATTTCCAAGAGATGGAAATTACAGAGATGCAGATTTTTGCTCAACAAAGGAAATGCTGTACTGTTAGGTTTTCTTAGTTGTGGGGACCATCCCCCCAACCTCAACCCCTCCCCCCCCACACACACATACACATACACATACCCTTGCCTATGCGCTCGCGCGCGCGCCACACACACACACACACACACACACAACACCAACAATAAACCTATGTTTTGGCTTTGTTCTTTACTGGATCCCAGGTTTATAATTACACGGGCATCTGAATGCTTGTTAGGACCAGACCAAAAGCCCAAGAATCAACTCTCTCTCCAAAACTGTGCTTGTTCATTGTGTTGTAAAGAATCAGTGCTTTATCATTCATTCTCTTCTACAAAAAGGGTCCTAGTCTGCATTGGATGGCATAGTTATAAGCATCAGGAATTACTTCTAAATGAATATAACATCTGGCTGTGTGTGTGTGTGCGTGTGTGTGTGTGTGTGTGTGTGTGTGTGTCTATTTTCTAAGTGCATAAGCCTTTCTGCCCCTTGCTTCTGGACATATAATCACACTCAAACACTGATAGACACAAATTCCTAAGGGCTGTGATCCCCTAGATCCAGAAAATTTTACTCTGCCCCCCAAACCTAGATGAACAACTTTCCAGGTGATTCCTTCTTGTCAACCTGAGACTCAGAGTGATGACTTTGGCAGTGAGTTGGACCTGCCGCCCGCCTCCACCACCCACCCCAACTGGTAACATGAGTGAGAAATAAGTGATAATAAGTCACTAGGATTTGGGGATGGATGTTACTGCAGTAAAATGTAGCCTATCCTGACCAATAATCCTCCAAACTGGGTCCACATTCTATCAATGTATTGTCAATTTCTTTACCTTGAGTGGTGTACTGCATTTCAAGACCCCCACCAGCTGTTTTTTGTTTTGTTTTGCTTTGTTTTACACTGGCTTCATTTCTTAATACTGTCATTTGATGCAACAGAAATAAATTCAGATCTCTTACTGCATTTTTGTTTGCCTAAAGGCCCAATTTGGGTTATGGTCAGAGAGGATGTCTCAGACAAGGGCTGTCATTTCCCAGCCTTTGAGGGATCCTGCTCCAGCAGGCTGAGTAATTTGTTAGAGACTAAAGGGATGGGGAGGGGATGAAATGTCACCAGCAAGCAGAAAACATGCTCACATGGTTTCTTCTTGTGTGTCTGGCAAGATTTTTAATTGTTTCTAAAGAAATCAGCCTACTGATGTGAACCATATGGAACTGTTGAAACACGGGGCAACAGAATAATACAGTTGGATCATGTTTCTTTAGTTGTCTGTAAAATGGCATGTAATTTGCAAACCAAAAATGGTGCTTAAAGCAACAATCACAGCAAGGTTCTTCATTTGAAATTCCTCACAAACTTTTTCCAAAACAATTCCAGAAGGATGGCACTCTTTAAAATACTTCATTTTCATGGCATTCCTTACAGGACTATTGCAGTTGCAATTATTTTTTTTTATGAACCTAATCCTCTGCCTAATCCTGTTGACTATGGGTTCCTCCTCCCCTCCCAGAGTGCATACTATGCAGCATTTGTTTCCCCTAAAGTGCTTCAAGGGTCTCTGTTTGGTCACCATGTCAGTAGATGTACCAAGTACCTGCTCTCAGCAGCAGAACAGTGTGTCTGTGTCCTTATATAGACTTTCCAGAAGGCATTATTGCATATTGGCTTTTATAAAGCTTTAATTCTGGAATAAGGATAATTCCAGAATAACAGTTAAACTACACAGGCTGTGTACAACAGAGTTAAATGACACATGAGTTGGGTACAGTGCGGTTCTGGCACTAAGGATCAATCCCTTCTTGGAGTGAAGTTGTAGTCTTGCTCCAACAGCTCTTCTTTTATGGTCCTGGGTCTATTTCTCTGACTCCGGTTAGACACTCTTCTTTGACAGGAGTCCCAGTCTGACATCAGGAGAATCCTGATGGGCACATACTTGGATCAAGGGTGCTGAACTCACCACAGAGGGCTTTCCGTGTATCTCTCTGTCTGTAGTGGTTCAAAGTTTAGGTTTTTGGTGTACCAGAGACCTTGAGACTCTCAATCTCAAGGACTGAAATAGGTTTTCTCCTATTTGGCTTTTTCTATTCCTACTGCATGAATCAGTGGGGACCCTGAAATTATGGCAACACAGTCTTTCACATGCAAACATACTCTGCACTAGAACCTCTCCCACTTCAGTTATGCGGGTCACCAAGGGTGCTTGTTAAAAATAGAGTCCCAGATTTCACTTCAGACTGTCTGAGAGTGAAGTTCAGAATTCTGCTTTTTAAAACAAACGTTTGAGATTTTGATGCTTCTGGTCAGAAGACCCCTATGTGAAAACTACTTATAAGATGCCTTTCCGTGTGGTATGAAGGTCCTAAAGGATTCCCCAAATTTGGTTGGGCAATAAATGTATCTTCCAACACTTGAAAGATTTTTTTCTCTTAGATGGTTTTCTTGCTCAAACTTTCAAATGTACTTCACTAAGTTTCCGTTGCTCAGTTGAGTGTTGCTTCCACTTAATCCAAGCAACAGTGACCATGCTCCTGCCTGCCGTGCTGGGATATGGAAGTGGAGTGAACCTGCCATGCTGACCCCAACTGACTAGTGTCTAGGAGGGTCAACTTTTTAAAGCTATTTTTTATATCTTTCTAAAGGTTATCTCTATATATAAAAGGCTAAGTGTCCGTCCTTCCCTGCGACCGGTAGCTATGATGTGCACTGACCACCAGGGAGCAGATGCTCAACGCAGGACCTGCCATGACATGCACTGGCCATTTAAAAATAAACGGCACCAGAGACCTGGCACCAACAAACCAACACTTGGCTTCCCCCAAGTGGGACACGAGCCCCGCCACCACCCTGGACACAGGCCCTGCCACCATCAAATCACAGCCAATGCTGCCAAGACCCCATGGTGCAAAATGTGGCCCACAGCCCAGCCCAGCCTTGAAATGGTCACTGTGGGTGCTGGGTAATGATGTCACATAGCATCGCCCAGCTTCCTCTCCCTAGCTACTAACCTCCTTGGATTTTCCTCAGCCCAGGAACCCGACTTGCTTTATAGCCAGGTGCAAACATTTTATAGTTCAACCAAATGTTTGTGAAGCATTTTCCCATGCCTCATCTCATTTGATCCTCACAGAAGTCCTGGTGTAGGTAGATAGGAGACTCGATAAAATCCTATTTTCTTTTCATTAGCAAGACAACAGAGATTTAGAAAGTTTAGAAACTTGACCTGACTGAAAAGAAGTCAGAAATAGTGGAACTAGCCAATTGCACGTGTGTTTTTCCATCTGTCATTGTCAATCATGAATTTGGTTGACACTTCTATTATAGAGAAAGGGCGAATAGTGATATTAAAATATTTCTTCTAATTAATTTCTTTTCAATGTGCACGAATCCGTGCACCAGGACACTAGTTTCCAAATAAATAGCCAGTAAGATGTAATCTCCTTAAGAGCAGCAATAAAAACAAAAACAAAACAAAACACTTCTGTACTTCCCTGATAGCATTATTAACCTTCATTACCCTCAATATGGTGTTAATTTGAAAGCACTTTCACTACAATACACTTGGAAAACATGGATAAAATATAATAAACATTCTCAACTTTAAAGGTAAGAATGAAAGAAAGTAAGAGAAATCCTTGGGAGCACAAAACAAAGAAGTTAAAAACCTAAGTTCAGAAGGTATTTGCCAATTTCACTACCAAAAACATGGTTTTATTGGCTCTGTGGGGACAAACAAACATGATCTGAGCCTGCAAAAGTCAGGAGTGATATTAAGAATCTATATACATAAAAGGCTAAGTGACCAACTGTCCATCTGTCCGGCTATCTGACCGACCGACCAGATGGTACATATGACTTGCACTGGCAATTTAAAAATAGATGTTGACTCACACATGCGTGATACATATAAAACTCTTGCTGGCATCAATCTAGACAGAGTAGGAATATTCCTACCTAAATGCCTTTTTTGGACATGGTCAGTTATATGTTGCTTTCTCTCAAGTTCGAACAGTGTGTGACATTAGAGTTAAAGTTGTAAATACTTCATCACAAAGGAAATTAGTAAAGCACTCTGAAAGTGTTTTAACTCTTAATGTGGTATACAGGTAGATATTAGAATAATCAATTTATCAGTCATTGTTTTTATCAATGTTGTTTTTATTTTATTTTTTAATGTTTTTATATCATGTGTTTGTTGTTGTTATATCATGTTGTTATTGTTTATTTATTAATCAATTTATATATTATTTTCATATACATTTTACTAATTATTTTCTTTCTCAAAGGGTGAATAGCAATATTAAAATATTTCTTCTAATTAATTTCCTTTTAATGTGCACAAATCCGTCCATCAGGCCACTAGTGCTACATAATGCTGGGGCCTTTACGGGTATGCAGTAAAAGAGTGGAATAGAAAACATTTGCCCCATATTGGGAGATGAGAAATAAATGTGTCTATCTTGATCAAGGTTCTGAGTGAGTAAAAACATCCCCTCAAAATTAGTGACCATAGACCGGTTAGCACATGGGATTGGATTCACATTTGTACTACATAGTCCTGAAAATTCCAAAGCAGAAATTTATATGAAGTGGTCCTGGGTTTATCATAGTCCCAGGCATTTAGCAGAGGAGGAAAAGAAGTCCTTTCTGGAGGAATACATTTTCAATCAAGATTCAGAAGTTTCCCATAGATAGAGCTCAATTAAACTTGTATTTCTAATACAAAATTGCAATCATATATAAGCAAGACACTATCAGCAGAAACAACAACTAAGAGAAAGGGGATCACACCCAAGAATTCCAGGGAATAGGATTATCAGATACAGGACATATAAATTGATTATATT